TCACAACACGGTTTTTTGCAGGGCAGATCTTGTGCGACATGCCAGACAGACTTCTTAAACCACACAACCGCTGTCATAGACAAAGGCAACAGTGTTATTCTCCTGTTCTTAGACATGCAAAAAGCATTCGACAGAGTGCCGCATCGAAGACTACTCCTCAGACTGAAGGAAATAGGTATTGGAGAACCAATGTTTTCTTGGTTGTCGTCATACCTAGCTGACAGACATCAGGTAGTACGTATTGGGGACCGTGTCTCTAAACCGAAAGCAGTCACCAGTGGAGTAATTCAGGGAAGTGTACTTGGTCCACTTCTTTTTCTCCTCTACGTCAACGATGTATTTCATAGAATAAGACATGGTGCTACTTTTCTGTTTGCTGATGACATTAAAATCGTCTACTCACAAGAACGTGCAGATACCCGCGCAGCCTTGTGCCACATTCAGGAAGATCTATCGGCACTTGAATCCTGGTGCAAACTGTTGCAGATGTCCTTTTCCGTGGACAAGTGTAATATTCTGTCGTACAAATGCGAAGTTCCACCAGGCAGTCTATTATTACAAGGCACGTTCATATCACAGTGCAAAGTGATTTGCGACTTGGGTGTGCGGTATTCCACTACCTTCAACTTTTCGGAACATTGTGACTTCCAAGTTTCGAAAGCCATGAAGACTATTGGCTATATCTGTCATAAATTTCAACTCACAGAATCTCGTATCTGGCTTTACAAAACATATGTGTTACCTGGCATGGAATACTGCTCACTACTACAGTCGAATCTGCGGAAATCTGACCAGCATGCTCTTGAGAGCGTACAGCGACGCTTTACAAAGAAGCTGTGCGGATATTCCTCCAAGATGACCTACAGAGAGCGCAGTGAAAAACTTGGACTTGACCCACTTTGGCTACGGATAATGAAGATGAACTTGTGTTTCCTGTACAGAATAATTCACCATCACATGCACAATTATGCTAACTGTGTCCATATGTCCGTTAACACTAGATACGAGCTACGAAATAAGGAGACAACGGTCATGATTCCAAAGTTCAATACGCGAATTAGGGAGCGATTCTTCTTAATACACTACTCAAAGCTTTGGAACAAACTTCCAAGAGCTATCAGAACTTGTTGCACATTGCGTTTGTTTAAGCTTTCGATAAAAGATCATTTAACCGTTCAAAATGTGATAATAATGTTTCGAACAGCACAGTCCTTAGATAACGCTTTTGAGAACGGAGTTAATGGTGCCTGCAAATGCATGTGGTCAAGTGCACAAGTGGTTATATTTCGTTGGCCCGCAGCACCTTATTCTCTCTTTTTTTCGTGTGCGATCAACTCTCATGGACTGCTAAAAACTTTTCAGACGATAGAACAAGAGGAATGTAAATATTTTGGACCGCTTCGCGCTACACAAATTTTCATTTTGTGCTCACATTTTAAAAAAATTTATTATACCATGATATGAAACTGCTGTACCATTATTTGATCCGTCCCTTCTGGGAACGGCATCGTCGAGCCATATACAATTTATTTATTTATGCTAATTTAGGGTAGGGTTATGTCTGCATAGCCGTATTCTTTGACATATATATTTTATTTGATAAGGTCATTTCAAGTGATTGGCTGTTGTTTGACATCCCCGGGGTGGCTGCGCTTGATGCGCATGTTGACAAGGTGCCTACCTGTCTGTTACCCACTACCGCGTCCATACTGGCTCCAGGAGACAGTTGGTCGTTGCTGGAGGGGGCGGGATGCACGGTACGTGTGGTCGTGCTAGGCTCGAACAGTGGTGCCATGCACTCAGTGTGGAGCGGACTACGGTCCAGCCACCGCCTTGTGTGCGCTTGATTCCCAAATACAGCATGCTTGTGCTTGCTTGTAAAGGAGTGTGGGCCGGCTCCGTTGATGAAACGTGGCTCCCATCCACATGCCCCCAGGTCTTATTCCTTCGGCTTTACACTGGATATGGGGTGTGTGGTTGGAGCTGTGGGTGGTGCAGCGCAAGCCACCCATGTTTCTTCTGTAAGCGCAGGCGTCCTGTGGCTGACCACAGTGATAGGCAAATTCGAAACTGGGTGCCGCCAACCATATATATATATATATATATATATATATATATATATATATATATATATATATATATATATATATATATATATATATATATATAACGCAGCCACAGTGCAATTGGCAGAGTGCAACAACGTATGATCAAATATAATAGAACAATAATAAGGAAATAAGAGGGAAAAGTATAAAACTAGAGTCAGATGCAGAGTTCCGCAACATGTTTGCCATTTCTCACGGTTTGATGAAATGTTAGGAAGGGTTTCTAGCTAAGTGGGTTCATGGCCCTCGCACCCCCAAGCTGGGAGGCGATAGTGCCCGACAGCGGTCAAATGTGAGGGTAACGCCTTGTGTTCACTCCCAACTGACTTATTTGCGCGCAAATAGTGCACGATGTGACAAACCCTCATTAGGGATGCGAATCACCTGCCCAAGCCACCGAAGCCCATGAAGTGAAAGTATACGGCTCAGCAACCGCTAAAGTCTGTCCGATTTGAAAATCCTTCGGTGAACATCCTAATTAGTAGTGTGGCGTTGACACCGTACACCAGCAATGCTCCGAAGGTAACGATGATCAAAGACAGTCTCTGAACGTCCTTTGCGCGGAAAGGCAAAGTCTCACAACCGTAGAGCTGGACCTCTCTCGCCGTGGCATTGTAGACACGGCCCTTCAAGAAGAGACTCAAGTCGCCGCGACGCCAGAGAGTCGCAAACGCAACCCAGGTCTTACAGCCACGCAAAGAGACCTCATCCCTTAAACCGTTAGCGCTTCTGCAGCTTCCGAGGCAAACGAACTTGCCCACTACTTCCAGAGGTTGGCCTGAAAGTGTAAGGGTGGCAGCAGTGTGGCAACCTTGACCTAAATACTATAATGAGTATATCCACTTGAGAAAAATCCCTCGATGGGCTATTCCAAGAGGGGCCCAAGAACATTCAATTTTCCAAACGGCTTTCGCCTCAACCATTCACCAAACGTTACCACACGAATCGCATGCTCCAATATTCCACATCTGAATATCGCCCATGTAAAAGCATGCTTACTTTCGTAAAAATCGGTCTGTACTGCTACAGGCACAGTTTTTCGGATCAGGAGAAATATATATTATTGTTATTGTTATTATTATTATTATCTTCGCCACCTGTGGCGCAGGCGCGTCATTCTCCTCATGAAGGGTGGAGTGTACAATGCACGCGGGATTTAGTCCATCAAATCGACAGATGTGAAGGAGCTATTTTGGATTCCACCACTCTTGCCTTTACAGCAAACCTTACATCTGGTGGAGACATCGCATGAGCAAGGAGCGTGTTCATCGCCTTGCTTTTGGCACACGAGGAACAAATGAACTGCTGAGTACCGTTATTTCGCGTACCGGGCTACGATGGCTAAGCTACGTGCTACACATATCAGCACACCGATTCCCGCAGCATGCGTTATTTCAGCGACCGGGGTGTGGATTGAAGAGGGGAATCCAGCCGATGATGTGCTCAAGAGGAATGAAGTTTGCAAACAAATTTCCAAGCTCGGCGAACGAATAAGTAACTGAAGGGATGAAGTCCCTCAATTCGTAGATCGCATCGGTTGGTCTCTAAACTACCGGGTTAATGCCCTAAAGGTGATGAAAACGTTTGTTTAGATACACCCATTGATATGGCGAGGAGACGGTCCCAATGGTATCTGCGTCGTGGGTTTATTTATCCCGTCCCACTCCGCTTAGCCTCCGCTTCCATCCACGACGTGGTTGGTAGTGCATAATATAAAACAAGGCCTAATACCATTATTTTTCGATTTTACTGCTACCTGAATGAACTGTACTGCAGGGAGTTTCTCACTCCTAGAAGAATGATAGTGGTGGGTGCACTAGATTTCGGTATGCAAGAAGTATGGACACGCAGCTCAAGTGAGTTAACCCGTAACCGTAAGCATTAAATCTTTTTGTCGCCATATTGCTCTCTCTCTCTCATGCATGTCTTCGGTTCAGTACGATTTCAAGTTAATGCCTTTCAGTATCTCAAATGTTACTGAGGAAGACTGCTGCTGCCGCTGGCATCCAAGTGTTTTCGTGTCGGAACATTCCTCATTAAACCTATTCAGCGAAACAATCTTGTCTACATTGCGTGAAATGAACACACTGAAGACTAAACTGGGTGTCGTTAGTCTGTGCTCACTTCCAGGCCGGATCCACATAACCCACCATATGCTTGTTTCGAGATTTTGTATGACGCGGCTCGCACCGAATGTCGTTTCCAAGTCGGACTGCCTGTTTAAAATTTGTTCGGTGCCGAGCTATCTGCGGGGTAATGGTTGATTATAACGGGGGGCAATGAAAGGCGCAAGAAAGATGGTCAGGCGATGCCGTCTTATGTTGTCACGATAACCAGTTGTTTGTAACCGTATACTGTTGACAAGGTGTAGACGCTTTCGCTTTGAAAGTTTCCTCAGGGTGTATATGCTTTGCGCCAGTTCCCCTCTTTTCTCCCGCTCATTATTACACATTGTTTAGGTCACTGGCTGCAGTGCAGCGAAGCGTCAGTTCAAATGGCTGATACACTGTTGTTGTTGTTGTTGTGGTTGTTGTTGTTGTTGTTGTTGGTCCACACTGTCTATTATCTATCAGCTCAAGTATAACACCGAAGGCTATCACACATCTGTGTTTCACGTAGCCCTAACGCATCGGGCCTCTTCGCCATAAGTTTTATTAATCTGCACTTAGGTATTTCGAACCTGCTATCCAATAGATCATGGTTCTTGCGATCTGGGGATATGTTGCGTACAAAGTGAGTAAAGCTCGCATATTTCCTTACACTTCCATTCAATGGTATTCGGTTGACCAAGGCTGACGACATAACTTTAGAATTAATGTCCGGTACATAGATAACATGAAACTGAACCTGGTCTTTTCATGTTTTCATCTATTTCTGGCTCCGTCTTTGAAGGATGCAGAAAACACTAACACCACATTCAACACTTAAAAGCACCAAAGAACAAGAGTATGGAAACGTGCGGGTTTCGGATAGCAGTCTGTATGAGAGACGGCGCACTTCGACGCCGAACAGAAAACGAGGGAGCCAGAGAAAAGATCATCGCGCAGTAGAAATATCAGAAACCGACAAACTCACTCACCCCAGACAACTGCATGTGAGTTGTTTGTGACTCACTTTCGTTTGTAACTTCCTCTCCGAGAAGCTCTCAGCCCTGAACAGTTCCTACTATACGCCATGCTATCAAATAACGTAGCAGGTCACCATGATATGAATCTTACCTGATTAATCATTTCATTTATTGCTAGCACAACAAATCCTAACTTCTATACTGTATACAAACACAGTAGTAAAAGGCAGTAAGGTGCGGTTAGGTGCAAATCCAGCATTTTCTTGTTGCAGATAATGAGTATCACCGGAACAGACGTTTGCGAGCTACGTATAGCCAGTAGGCGTGCTGTAACATACTTGGAGCAGGGGTTTATGACAGATAAAAAACAAAGGCTTAACAAATCCCGCAGGTTGGTAAGGGAAGGAATTGTAAGGCAAGTCAAGAATGTGCTTTATGCACTCATGAAGGGTGAATTTTCAGTTCTAACACACACATCACGGACAGAGGTAAATAAAGAAAACGAATAGTACGTGAGGATAGGTATAAAATCACAACTGTCAAAAAAACTTGACAAGGCAAATATCACGGGAGTACTTTACTAACTAGTTATTGAATTACTGAATTTTTATCATTCAGAAACGTAACAGGCAAGGAACTATTGAGGTACCACATGCCGTTGTGTGGGCGTATATAGTCCAGTAGCTCTATTTGGTCGATGAGGTTGATGCTTATTCGGACAATGTCCTGTGAAGGGGGTAGCTAACATCAATGAGTATTTTAGATGCGAGATTGTTACATGAGTTGACATGGCTGGATACAATGAGGTTAATAAGTTCCAGCCTTGAAATGTCACTACACCGTGATAGATGCTCCATTGAACTGACAATTACTTTTAAGTCCTTACTCAGGAGACAAGGAACCATAACGGAAGAGGAATGGGTCCAGTAGAGTGACACATATGCAGTGATAAAACGCAGGATCTAAAAACTGGGTACGGAAGAAGACCTGAGACGTGAGTCTAATGAATATTTTGTTCACGTGTAGGGACTACATAAGCCTACTGCTCAGTGTCAATCCTAGGTAGTTTGTTGAAGTGGAAGAGGTCAAACATTCACCGTCATTGCAACGTTGCGGATATCGCGTTAGGATGTGCTGGTAGAAATTTCCTTTGTACAGCGAAAAGAAAACATCCTCACATTTAGGGGTGTTTAACAGTGGGTTACAGGGTTTATAGTTTGACCGATGACTATATGCTTGGATGACGGAGGCCATGGATTGCGTCGTCCGCATACTTTAGCAAGAAAATAATAATAAGGCATATGCTCGGGTTAACAAGACATGCTTTTTTCGGCATAATCAAGTTCTGTCTCAGGGATTGGGAATGCGGTAACAGGTGGAAACTAAGAATGGGGACAAGATGACTCCCTGAAGAGCAACAGTCCGTGATGAATGAAGTGTTCTTACCACTATCTTGTTGAAGTGAGTACAGCTGGTGAAATAATCTTTCAATAGAACAATAAAAGTTTGAGCTCCAGAACCTAATAGGCCGTACAACAGCATTTAACGGTTCACACAACAGAAAACGTTACTAAAATCCAGGGAGCAGATGTTGGTGGATTTGTTTTATTGTTCGGTGATGAGAGCACAGTATGTACCAGACATGCTCCTACATCTAAGGTAGACCTTGAGAGGTGATATTTAAACTGAATAGGGTCCTCCAAATGCGTCTGGGCTGATATCCTTTAAAGAATAAGCCTCTCAAAGGTCTTCAAAACAACCGACGTGTAAGCGATCGACCGATATTTGCTGATTCCTTTCTTTGGCACTGGTATGATGCTTGCGTTTCGCCAACTGTCAGCTATCTTGTGCTACTTGAAGCACAGTGTGCAAAATCAGCGAGAGGCTGTGCCAGGTACTTTGCACGTTCCTTGAGAACAACAAGAGACAATTTATCAGGACCAAGGGCTTTGTTCAGTTGTAACCCGATTAATTCTCTGTGTACTTCTAGGCTGTTCACAGAAGGGGATTATCTGAGGGTAGCTGTAAATCAGCAAAGGAAGGTGGAATTGAAAGCGTGGCCTTGCGGGTGACTCCGCTTAAGTGCTACAGCATCTTCCGAATTTCACGATAGTTATTGTTTCCAAGTATAGTTTGAACATAAATATGGTTGAGTTGACTCAATCCGATTGTTACATCAATCGATAGAGACTTTACTGATGTAACGTCTTTTTGTTTAAATCCCTTTTCTTCAAGCCTACGCAGTCGTCTGAGACGAGAATCTATCGACGTGGATAAAACATGTTTTGATTAGACGATAAGTGTCGAAACAGAATTTTAGGTAACAAGTTATCTGGTCACAAGAATTCGTTACGTTTACATCATAAAGCAAACTAAAATTTGTGAGGTCAATGGTTTCACGAATTCGTCCAATGTTCTTGGGAAGACATTGTCTCCGCCTGAACTTTCGATCATTACAACGGGTGAGACCTTTATGGTTCATCTTGCTATAGACAACGGGAGATAACTTTACGATGGCATGATCAGAGCTTCCAAGCGGCACTCGATTACAAACAGAAAACACTTCAGGTTGTTAAAAATACCATATCAGATGTTGCACTTGACCTGGTTCGAGATCACACTATGTCCTTTATCCCAAGGCTCACAAGGAAGCTGCTGTCAGCTTTGTTACAATCGTCCGTAGCTATGCACAAACGGAGTTCCAGGTATTCGGGGACCGGAGCTGTAAATCCGTCGTGAAATTCTTCGAATTCGTAGCTTGTACAGCTGGGAGATATATACATTAGGCAATAAAATCAGACGATAACCGTTCAGCAGTCTTGGTTTATATTTCACGATTAGACAATTGATGTGTTCCAAGCTGTAGTGAAAAATGATTTTAATCGACGTGCACCATGCAGAATTAACGTAAATGATAACGCCACCACCGCGGTTCCTTTTTGTACATTAGCGATCAATATGAAATGAGTACCACAACTGCATCTACAACATCAGCGCGAAGCCACGGTTCCTCCGGCAAAATGATGCCTAAGCGAGAATATTCACGACATTTTATAACGCTTTTAATGTCTCACAATTTTCCAATCAGCGATCGAATAGTAACACTAAAACAAGTAGACTCGTACTTCCGGGATGATTTTTCCGAAGTGGAACCTGCCATCATACACGGTGATTTTGTGTAGAATTCCTCTGCTTCTTTGTATTTTGTTTCATATGGCTTAACCAGGAAAAAGTGCACAATCCATTTGAGTGAAAGCATGCAAAAATTGCAAAGTCTCGCCAGCGTAAACCATCATGTGCCTAGTTGCAGAACAAAATACTGGAAGTTAAAGCAAAATAGTTCCAATGTAGTGCCGAAAGGCGTGTGTTCCTATATTATTTGGGTAGGAATTATAGAGCACGGCCAAACTTGAACGCTCCGCGTCACTTGCGGACCAAATAGTGTGCATCGGTGAAGCGACTGGGAAACGGCACATTAGAAGCAGATAAAGAAACAAACACAGGAAGCACTCATAATAACGAGTCGATAAGTTGAATGCTCATTTTAAAAAGCAATTGGATTGCTCACCCCATTACACTGATTTACGTGCATCATTGTGAAAGGAAATTCAAAAACCCTAGTTAGCCGGAATACATTCCAGAGCAAGCATTCATGTAGCAAAGTGTAGGGGGGTGAACACGATATCCAAAGGTTTTTTTAAATGGCTGAAGTGGATTCACAAACAATTGGGTTTGGATGGGAGTTCCAAGGTTGACAGACCCGAAAAGAGAAGTAAGTTAGTCGACAATCTGAACGGATATATTGTTCACTGAGTTTCAGGTTACTATCTTTGAAGTTGATGTTCTACTGACTTTCAGGCATACATGACTGAGATACGTGTTACACTAATATGTCTCCATGTAACTGCCTGTAGTGTTCATTGAATACTCAGAGTTTCTTCAGCTGTTTATGGTACTGAAACTAGCGCAAAACCTTAACATATATCGACGCTCGACATTGTTGATTCTCGAGCGCTACAAGCTCACGCTTTAGCTAAATTTTTCAAGTCTGGATAGCATATTCGACGTGGGAACGCACGTTGTCATTGAGCATCAGATAGAAGATAGCTAAATCCAAACTTCCGAGTGTCCTTTGCCAAAGACGAACTTGCTGGTTAGCACTTTTTGTAGAGGGCTCAGAATAAATGGAACAACCGAGGTCACGTCATGTGTCCCAAGCCCGTAGAGGTGGACGTGCAGATGTGAACAATTACACGCTTGCCCATATTGAATGGCAGTGCATTTCCCATGACCTCATCGAGATCGCGCTGGAAGATCTATTGGTCGTTCAATCCTTTGACCACGTGTTAAATCCTAAAATTGTCCGCAAATAGTAAGCTTTTTGCCGTGGTAACTTTCGCTAGATCGTTAATGAAGACTATGAACAAGCGAGACCCAAATACCGAGCCTTGCAACCGATTCGGATTAGCTCGGAGATGGGTGTTCGGACTCTAACCTCCAGTTGCCGACCCATCCCAATAATGCGTCCCCGATGCCATAGTCCTCAAGCTATTACAGCAAAATGCGATAATCCAAGCAATCAACTTTAGAAATGTCTAATTAGATGAGGTCGGCTCCTGTTCTCTCATATACTCTTTCAGTCCATTTGTCGCGCGCAGTTAGCAGGTTCGTGGTACATATTCGATGCAAACAGAAACCGTGCTGCTCCGGTGCGATAATACCGTAGCTTTCCAGGCAGCCCATCAATAGGTCTGCAATGATAGTTTCCATGGCCTTGGCGAGCACAGGAACAATGAACAATGAATGTATACGGGTTAAGAAGGGTTGTTTTACAAGTCCCGTTGGATAGTTGGTGGGGATGTCGAAATAATAATAATGATAACAATGGGAGTAAAACAGTTAGTATTTTAAGTACGGAAAGAAGGACTTATCGTTTACTCCGCTGCAGTCCGCACAGATTCGCAGCACCCACAGTTAACATCAAATAATTCCATGGTAAACTCCAGGTGCAGGATGGAGACGTAGTG